AAGGAAAATGATACCAGAAGGCAGCTGGGCTATAAACAAAACCTTAAGGGCCCAAAATGGTAAACATGTAGGTTAACATACAATACTTTTACTTGGCCACTCAAGGTGGCTCTTTGGGAGGCCCAGGCGGGTGGATCATCTGAGGTCAGGAGTTCACCAGCCTGACCAACATGATGAAACCCTGTCTCTACTCAAAAATACAAAATTAGCCATGTGTGGTGGCAAATGCCTGTAATTCCAGCGACTCGGGAGGCTGAACCAGGAGAATAGCGTGGACCCAGGAGGCAGGGGTTGCAGTGAGCCAAGATTGCGCCATTGCACTCCAGCCTGGCAGCCTGGGCAACAAAAGCAAAACTCCATCTCAAAAAAAAAAAGCCGGGTGTGGTGGCCACGCCTGTAATTCCAGCACTTTGGGAGGCTGAGGCAGGTGGATCACCTAAGGTCAGGAGTTAGAGGCCAGCCTGGCCAACATGGTGAAACCCTGTCTCCACTAAAAATACAAAAACATTAACTGGGCATAGTGGGGTGTGCCTGTAATCCCAGATACTAGGGAGGCTGAGGCAGGAGAATTGCTTGAACCCAGGAGGCGGAGGTTGCAGTGAGCTGAGATCATGCCATTGCACTCTAGCCTGGGCAACAAGAGCAAAACTCTGTCTCAAAAAAAAAAAAAAAAAAAGACTTTTTTTTCTCTTTTCAATTTTGAGGGGAAAAAATGTAATTGCCTATTTAAAGCATAAACAAAAACAGCATATTGTGGGGTTTACACCATGTTTCACTTGGATATATGACACAGCAACACAACCAACCAAGAACAGGTCAGAAGCAGGAAGCCGTAGTCAGAGAACTGCCCCAAGGCTCAGGCAGGGTAATACCATTAGAGAGTAGACAGCGACAAGTGAAAGATGTAGCGGAAAACCCCAGAGATGACAGATTTAAACCCAAGTGGTCTAAAGACTCCAAGTAAAAACCAGAGGTTGTCAGGCTGAATAAAGAAGCAAGACCTAATTATATGATACCTGAAAGAAATCCACTTCACACATACACAAAGGTTGAAAGTGAAAAAAGCTAAACCTGGCAAACACACCACACAAATACCAAATCAGAAGAAAGGATAGTAGTCAAACCAAGGTGACTTCACAACAAAGAACGTCACCAGAGATAAAGGGGGTCAAATTTACGAAAATGATGTAAAAATCCTAAAAGTGCGTGCATCGTATAACACAGTTCTCAAATACATGAAACAAAAACCGCAGAGCTGAAAGAAAATCATCTGTAATTAGCATGAGATTTCAATTCTCCTCAGAAGAAAGATGAACTAAGCAGTGAAATTGCTTTTCATGCCTCCCCAGCACAACGGAGCTACTCCAGGGAAACAAAGGCCAGTCGCTGGGCCTGATCTCCCCAGAATGCTGAGACCGGCTTCTCTGTAAATAAATGACTGGTATTTGCTAGGAGAAGAGTCCTTATCTATGAAATGTTTTTAGCAAGATGTGGTTAGTTTAGGATTGTGTTTGGTAAACATACCTAAAATCCATGGACTTATGGGACACGGTTCCCTGGAAAAGGTTCCCTAAAGTGTATAAACTATTTGACTACAAAACGGAAACACTACGCATCCTTAATGCTACTTGTGCAGTGAGATGAGGACACACCTCAGTGAGAAGAGGAAGCACCTCAGTGAGAGGAGGACGCACCTCAGCACCTCAGCGACAGGACGACGCACCTCAGCGAGAGGACGACGCACCTCAGCAGCTCAGCGAGAGGACGACGCACTTCAGCGACAGGAGGACGCACCTCAGCGGGAGGATTACGCAACTCAGCGGGAGGACAACTCACCTCAGCACCTCAGTGAGAGGACGACGCACCTCAGCAGGAGGACGATGCACCTCAGAGAGGACGCACCTCAGCAGGAGGACGACACACCTCAGCGAGAGGAGGACGCACCTCAGCACCTCAGTACCTCAGTGAGAGGACGCACCTCAGTGAGAGGACGCACCTCAGTGGGAGAACGACGCACCTCAGCACCTCAGTGAGAGGAGGACGCACCTCAGTGAGAGGTCTCATCTCTCAGGCGGAGTTCAAACAGGACGGACCTGGGGGAGTTGCACAGACTGTCCCATATCTCTTCCTGCTTTGCCTGAGCACACAAGTGAGGATATTACTTGTATCTTTAAAGTTCCTAAGTAATCTGGTACCGATAAAATCTCTGAGATTCACGTCAAACTAATGTGGTAATCCAACCTTGCGTGTTAGTTCAACTCCTCTCCTAACAGTGAATAGAACAAGTAGGCAGAAAATTATTTCAAGTCAAGGATACCTGAACACTGACAACTTGATCTCACTAAGCGTTACAGAGCAGCAAAATACACTTTTTTTTTTTTGTTATGTTTGGTAGAGACGGTTTCACCATGTTGGCCAGGCTGGTCTTGAACTCCTGACCTCAAGTAATCCACCCACCTCAGCCTCCCAAAGTGCTGGGATTACAGGCATGAGCCACAGCACCCAGCCATTCTTACTACGTGTGCATGAAACATTCCACAGAATACACCATATTCTGGGGCTTAAGACAAGCCTCAACAATGAAATCACAGAATATGTTCTCTGACTACAACCAATTTAGAAATTGTTAACAGGAGATATTTGAAAATCCCCAAATATTTGAAAATGAAATAACACATTTCCAAATAATAAGTGGGTAAAAGAAGAAATTAAAAGGGAAATTAGAAAATATTTTCAACTGAATGAAGATGAAAATGAATAAACATTTCCAAATTTGTGAAATGTGGCTAAACAATGCTTAGAGGGAAATTTATATTCTAGTTTTGAACACTTGTTAGAAAAGACAGAAAATCGAAAGTCAATGATCTAAGCTAAGCCTTTACCTTAAGAAACTAGAAGAGACAGAAGAGTAAATGGAACCCAAAGCCAGCAGAAAAAAGGAAATAATAAAGAGTAAAGCAGAAATCAATGAAAAAGAAAACAAACAAAATCACTAAAACCAACAACTGGCTCTTTGAAAAAACTCAAACTGATAACTTCTAGTAAGACTGAACAAAATGGAAAGAGAGAAAATACAAGGCACATTTCAGCAAATTTCTGGATAACAGACAGTATGTGCTGGTACTTACTACATGCAAGATAATAGCATACGCACTTTGTCTGGCCTACTGTACTGATCCCATAATAACCTACAAAGTGGGTACTATTATTAACTGCAGATACGAATTTTTTTCTTTTTTTTTTTTTTTCTTTTGTTTTTTTTTTTGAGACGGAGTCTCACTTTGTCTCCCAGGCTGGAGTGCAGTGGCGCGATCTCGGCTCACTGCAAGCTCCGCCTCCCGGGTTCACGCCATTCTCCCGCCTCAGCCTCCGAGTAGCTGGGACCACAGGCGCCCGCCACCACACCCGGCTAGTTTTTTGTATTTTTAGTAGAGACAGGGTTTCACCATGTTAGCCAGGATGGTCTCGATCTCCTGACCTCATGATCCACCCGCCTCGGCCTCCCAAAGTGCTGGGATTACAGGCTTGAGCCACCGCGCCTGGCCACGAATTTTTTTCTTAAGAGACAGGGTCTGACTCTGTCACCCAGGTAGAGGCACAATCATAGATCACTGCAGCTTCAAACTGCTGGCCTCAAGTAATTCTCTCACCTCAGCGTCCCAAAGTGCTGGGATTACAGGTGCAAGCCTGGTGTCACAAATTATTTTTATATATGTACATTTACACATGTACGTCCATGCAAGGAAAAGAAAGTCTGAATATCCACACCGAAGGGATAATAGTGGCTAACTCTTAGAGGAAAACTGAAATTTGGGTGGGCAGTCAGGTGAAATTTCTGCTTTATAGTCTATGTATTTTTATAAAAAAACATTTATTCCATGTATATTTTTAATTGGAACAAAAATGCATCAGACATTTCAAAAATTGAATTACACAAAAAAAAGTATGCATAGAATACATATATGGGTTTTACTGGTTTGGATAAAGGCAAAAGATTATGAAAGTCCATCCACAATAAAGAACTCCTATAACCCAAAACAAAAAACTTAATTAAAAAATGGGCAAAAGGGCCAGGCGCAGTGGCTCATGCCTGTAATACCAGCACTTTGGGAGGCCGAGGTGGGTGGATCACTTGAGGTCAGGAGTTCAAGACCAGCCTGGCCAACATAGTGAAACCTCGTCTCTACTAAAAATACAAAAAATTAGCCAGGCACAGTGGCAGGCACCTGTAATCCCAGCTACTCGGGAGGCTGAGGCAGGAGAATCACTTGAACCCGGGAGGCAGAGGTTGCAATGAGCCGAGATTGCACCACTGCACTCCAGCCTGGGCAACGAGAGCCAAACTCTGTCTCCAAAGAAAAAAAAATGGGCAAAGGATTTGAATAGACATTTCTCCAGTGAATGTATAGTAATGGTCAATAAGCATGTAAAAAGATGCTCAGAATGACTAATCAACAGGGAAATGGGAAATGCAAATCAAAACAATGAGATGCTGTACCTACTCACAAAAATTAGGATGGCTATCATCAGAAAAGAAAAAGTGTTGGTGAGGATATGGAGAAATTGGAACCTTGGTATACTGCTGCAAGAATGTAAAACAATGTAACCACTGTGGAAAATAGTTTACTGGTTCCTCAAAAAGTTACATGTAGTGCCAGGTACAATGGCTTACACCTGAAATCTCAGCAACTCAGGAGTCTGAGGCAGGAAGATCCCTTGAAGCCAGGAGTATAAGACCAGCCTGGACAACACAGTGAGATTCTGTCTTTAATTAGTCAACTGTGATGGCTGGGTAACCATGTGAATATACTTAATGCCAATGAACTGTACACATAAAAATGGCTAAAACGGTAAGCTTTATGGTATGTATATTTTACAATATTTAAATTTAATTACATTTTTAAAAATTGTTACCAAAAAAATACTAAGAATCCATCCAAGTTATATAGAAAAGGAGTATCAGATCAAGCTTTCCAAAGTGCCAAAACTCACAAGATTACCTGGTTGCTTGCCCCATACCCAGCTTTCCAGGATTGACTTGGCCCTATATACAGGTGCAGGAGTTTCTTCTTCATCCTTTTTCTCTTTGTCATTCATATCTTCTTTCTTTGTTCCACTCGGTTCGACACTATCATCTGCAGAATTAAAAATATTTTAATCTGTAACTGCTTTTCAGAATGCCATACCATTAGTCTCTGCAAATGTCCCTCCCCGAAAAGTTACAACACACATCATTAATTGAATGTTTGCCCACTTAAAAATAAAATACATCAGTCACACCTGTAACAGATCCAGTACACTTTTCATAAAGAAACCAATATATCACCCGGGCACAGGGGCTCACGCCTGTAATCCCAGCATTTTGGGAAGCCAAGACGGGCAGATCACAAGGTCAGGAGATCAAGACCATCCTGGCTAACACAGTGAAACCCTGTCTCTACTAAAAATACAAAAAATTAGCCAGGCATGATGGCGGGCGCCTGTAATCCCAGCTACCCGGGAGGCTGAGGCAGGACAATGGTGTGAACCCTGGAGGCAGAACTTGCAGTGACCCGAGATGGTGCCACTGTACTCCAGTCTGGGCAACAGAGCAAGACTCTGTAGCAAAAAAAAAAAAGAAAAAGAAACCGATATAACAAATTATTCAAAGCATGTCTTCCAAAATGATATTCCATCAACTTCCTAGTACACTTCACAACTGAGAAACTTAGTCTTTGATATTTACCTACTTCAATTTCACACCAATTGCCTTTTTCCAGTGAGTCCCAATGCTTGTGTATACATGGGAAAAGGGAGGGTGTAGAACAGGAGTATGATTCAAAAATCTTTCAACTCTTTACAAGGCCCTACTCCACTGCCAACTGAGAAGCACTGCTATGCAGGGGCGCTGTCACTGAGAGCAGAATTCAAGAGCACTGAGACACAAAGGAAAAGCTGAGAACAATGACTTTAGGCCACTGAGAATGTGAAGTTTCAGTCAAAAACAACTGTCATAAAACTCCTTACATAGTAAGCGAAGAGCAGAGAGAACTAACCTTAACCTTGAAGTGTAAACACGTTCCATTACACAAGGCTATTACTAAACATCCAAACAACATAATTAGAAAAATGTATCGAAATCGGTGAAAGACATGATATCCCATCCAAATTACAAATAATGAGTGCCTAAAAATCTCTAAGGAAACAGATCCTCTGTTTACAACACTTCTGACACCAAATGGATGGACTTTTGCACAAGGCAATTCTCAGTTCTCTGCAACACCCATCTACGTGTCCCACAGTGCAATTCAATTCTGAAACTAACTACCTAGAATTAGCACAGACCCCACAGGTTAATAACAGGAAAGAAAAGGTATAATGCTGAAAAAAATATCCAAAGAACTAATGGCTGAAAACTTCCTAAGTTCAGCAAATGGCATAAACCTAGGCAGACTGAAGAATCTAGGCAGACTGAAGAAGCCCAAACAAGATAAATCCAAAAGAAGCCATGACTAGGCACATCATAATCAACTGCTAAACACTAAGGACAAAACCTTCTGAAAAGTGCCACAGAAAGCAGGTATAGAAGAGTGTGTTGTGGGGCCCGAAATTAAGGCTAAATATTACGTGCTGCCTTGACGTCGGTAAAATCAAGAAGGCCTCAAATAGCCTAACCACAAGGTCTCCCCCCAGCTCTGCTCCCACGGATAAGGTCCCAAAGCCAAACAACCCTCCTTATCACAGACAGCCGACCCCAGCCTGCTCATCCCTGCCGGCCCAGAGTTATTCAAACAAGCCAATCACATCTTCCCATGGAAGCAAAGTCATCTCACCCTCTTCTTACTACAAAATGTGCCTCCCACAGCCCCTGGTGGCTCACTCTGTTCCCAAGTGCAGCCCCCGTGTGGCATGCCGTGTCCCCCACCTCCAGGGCTGTGAGCATGCATGACTAATAAACTGCTATTTCATCTGTCCAGTGTCAGTGTCCTATGTTCAGCCATCCCATATCCCTAGGGCAGGAATCTTCTAGGGTTATAAACAGAACTTTAATCAACCTCTCCTTGGTTATTTTACTGGTTCCATGATACAGCTGCTTCTGTGCAAAAGATCTGAACAGAAACTTCACAGAGGATACAAGAGTGGCAAAGAACATGATATTCAGCATCATTAGCCATTACGGAAATGCAAATTTAAACCACAATGAGATCCCACTAGACTTGTTAGAATGGCTCAACTAAAAATCACTGATAACACCAAGAGCTAACAAAGACACAAAGCAACAGAAACATGACAGATTGCCAGTGGGAATGCAAACTAAAACAGCCACTTTGGAAAACACTTCAGCACATGATCCAGCTTTCACACTACTAGGTCTTTATCCTAGGGAAATGGAAACTATATTCACACAAAATCTGTACAGAAATGCTCACAGCAGGATTACAATTGCAAAAGAAACATGGAAACAACCACAAGGTCGTACAACAGCGGAATGGATAAACACAACGTGGTACATCCAAATGATGAAATACTATTCAGCAATAAAAAGAACTATTAATACACAGAACAACAGACAAACCTCAAACATATCACTGGGAGTAAATGAAGATGGTTTCAAAACGTTAAAGTATGATTCCACTTACATGACATTCTCAAAAAGAATACCCTATCCTGATGGAGAATAGATCAGTGGTTGCTAGGGTACGAGGCCAGGGAACATGTGATAAAAAGGAGTAGCACAAGGGAGCTTTTGGGGTGATGAAACTTCTCCATCCTGATGATGGCGGGGGTTACATGAATCTACAGAACTCATAATTTACTTAACTACGGATCACAATAAATTTCATATGTTTTTTAATTTAAAAAATGTTGGCTGGGTGTGGTGGCTCACACCTGTAATCCCAGCTACTTGGGAGGCTGAGGCAGGAGAATAGCTTGAACCTGGAAGGCAGTTCATGCTACTCAAAAACAAACAACAAAAAAAAAGTGAAAATAACCTAATATGTACTATGCAAAGCATCTGGCCTACCAACAACACATTACCCTTTTAAATCTTTACAAAAAACCTTGAAGGAGGCAGGTTTTGTTGTCTCCAGTTTACCAAGGTAGACACCTGGGATCACAGAATACAGAGCAGAACCCAGCCAGGAACACAGCTCAGGTGAGAACACAGGTGCTGGCACTAAATGCCAGACTCTGCACTACATGTATGTGTGCATGTGTGTATGTGTGCGTGTGTGTGTGTGGTCACTAACCACAGCCCAGGGGCCAAACCCAGTCCACAGCCTCTTTCTGTATGGTCTGAAAGGAAAGAAAGTATTTTACTTTTGTTGTTCTTTTGAGACAGAGTCTTGGCTCACCACAACCTCCACCTCCCAGATTCAGGCAATTCTCCCGGGTTCAAATGATTCTCGTGCCTCAGCCTCTGAGTAGCTGGGATTACAGGCGTGCACCATCATGCCCAGCTAATTTTTTGTTTTTAGTAGAGATGGGGTTTCACCGTGTTGGCCAGGCTGGTCTCAAACTCCTGACCTCAGGTGATCCACCCACCTTGGCCTCCCAAAGTGCTGGGATTACTGGTGTAAGCCACCACGCCCGGCCACCGTATTTTATATTTTTTAATGATTGAAAAATAATCAAAAGGAAAACAGTAGTTTGTGACTTGCAAACATTCTGTGAACGTCATCTTTTGGTGTCCATAAATCAAGTTTACAGAATGAACCTCCCCTGCCCACTGACGTAGTGTTGTCTGTGGCTACTTTCGCACTACAGCTGCAAGGGCCCCTGGCTATGACAGAGACCATATGGTTCACTGAGAGCTTAAAATATTTACTATCTGGCCCTTTAGAGAAAGTATGCCACCCCTACCCTCCATCTGGCTATAAATTTTACAAATAAAAAAAATGCAACATTCATAATTTTAAACTCAGTACACTGGAACACTGCTCATCTCCCTTCTTCAAGACGAAAAGCTTCGACAGTCACCAGGAAGCAGACAAGAACCCTAAGTACACCTCAAGTGTTATTCTCAGGAGCATAAATTACAACACTTTACAACAGCAAAAGCCGGATGAAGTCACTGGTGGCCATGAAAACAACCAAGAATAATTAGCACCATCAGCTCAAAGACCACACCACATCAGCTTCAATATTCGTCTACTTTTCCTTTCACTACTGTAGAGTTCAAAGTATGCATAGAGAAAATTGAACACATACTGCCCAAACACATTGCTTATAGAATGCTGGAGAGAAGGGAAGCGAGACCTCCCATTGGCCAGGTGTGGTGGCTCACGCCTGTAATCCCAGCACTTTGAGAGGCCAATGTGGGAGGATCACTTGAACCTAGGAGATTGAGACCAGCCTGACCAACATGGCAAAACCCCATCTCTATTAAAAATACAAAATCAGGTTGGGCGCGATAGCTCACATCTGTAATCCTAGCACTTTGGGAGGCCAAGATGAGAGGATCACTTGAGGTCACAAGTTCGAGACCAGCCTGGCCAAGATGGTGAAATCCGTCTTTACTAAAAATACAACAATTAGCTGGGCGTGGTGGAGGGCACCTGTAATCCCAGCTACCCAGGAGGCTGAGGCAGAGAACTCAGGAGGCGGTGGTTGCAGTGAGCCGAGATCATGCCACTGCCCTCCAGCCTGAGCAACAGAACAAGACTCCCTCACGAGAGGAAAAAACAAACAAAAAAATTCATCAAATGTAATGAATAAAACATATACTTTGGATTTTTCCATGTACTTAGCTTTTCTTGAAAAAAAAAATTTTTTCAAAAAATGTATTCAGTGTATCTAATACTGAAATGGAGAAAAGACTTAATGTTAAAGAAAAAACAAAACAAAACAAAAAGCACTATAGACACTGACATGGAAAAGATATTTAATGTTAAAAAAAAACTTTATATTAACTGAGTAATACCTCCCGATGAGAAGTGCTATATTAAATATAAACCTATTATGTTGTTAAAAAAAAAAAAAAAAGATGAAAATCAAAAGCACTATGCAGAGTGAAAGAAGCCAGACACAGAAGAACCTGACTACATGATTCAATTTATGGAGTTCTAGAACTGGCACAATCTGTCAATGCTAGAGAAACATCAGACCAGTTACTGACTCTGGGAAGAAGGGGCAGGACACGAGAGAACTTTCTGAGCAAGAGTCATGATAAAGATGTGGGTTACACAGGTTACATTTGTCAAAACTTGTGAAATGGTGAACTCAGATGCGTTTCATTATATATAAATTTTACCTGAAAGTCAAAAACATAAAGTTTAACTAAAATCAATTACATACATGAGTGTCTAAGGAGCTAGGTGAGACAAACAGTGGATGGACAGACGGCAGGATGTGGAGCCAAACCGCAGCCACTCACTGTACACGTCTGTCAGTTATTGTGCGTGTGTGTGTGAATATTTTCAAACAAACATTAAAAAAAAAAAAAAAACAGGTAACTGCTTGACACTGAAACTGAAAAGGGAAACTAATACTTTTTCCCATGGTTTGTTTTGGTTTTTTTTAGATGCAGTCTCACTCTGTCACTCAGGCTGGAGTGCAGTAACACAATCTCAGCTCACTGCAACCTCCACCTCCTGGGTTCAAGCAATTCTCCTGCCTTGGCCTCCCAAGAAGCTGGGATTACAGGCGCCCGCCACCATGCCTGGCTAATTTTTGTATTTTTTAGTATAGACGGGGTTTCACCATGTTGGCCAGGCTGGTCTCAAACTCCCAACCTCAAATGATCTGCCTGCCTCAGCCTCCCAAAGTGCTGGAATTACAGGCATGATCCACCGCACCCGGTCCCCATGTATTTTCAAGTGGACACTATCCCAATTCATTCTACAAAAGAAGAAGAAATACTTTCTTCAGTCTAATGCTCTCCCAACTGAGCTATTTCAACTGAGAAGAAATACCTTCTAAAGTGGTAGCTTTATCCATGTTGATGACTCTCAAGTAGGAGGACCAACAAACTTCAACAACGGGTCTCAACCAAGGATCTTTCCCGCTTCAACAACGGGTCTCAACCAAGGATCTTTCCCGCTTCGACAACGGGTCTCAACCAAGGATCTTTCCCGCTTCGACAACGGGTCTCAACCAAGGATCTT